CTAGGGGTCTATGAGTGGGGCTACATAAGCTACTTTTGCCCTCATCCATAGCCGCTATAGTCAATTGCAAATGAACCTGGTTCAGTTAACTTGAAAATCAATTACGACATAATCCGCGTTTGAACGCCAGATAACCCCCCATCAATGGAATCGGGTATGATTGGCTGCCGACGAGCTGCTGACATTTCGATCTCCTTTGACTTCACCGGCACCCCGCACTGTAGGATTACTCGTCTGCATGCGACTGCCTGAGTGCCCAGACGAAACGAGATGAGCCTGCCCTGTGACCTAATCGGTGGAAAAAAAGCCCCACCAGCGTCCATCTTCATCCAAAGACTACGGCTAACAGCCTGGGGTTTACAATTTGCGGACGCGCACATGAATGGGATAGTTACGGCATTTTATTAAAATAAATTCCGACGGTCGCACGAGGCCTATATTCTGTCATTTAGAGGACTGCTAATAACGAAGTTATTTAACACTCCAAAGAAGAGTAACTAATGTCTCCCAATAGCTGATATTACGCCGGACTGGAAAAAGAAGCTATCCACGTTTGAGCAAATTTGATCATCTGGAGATTGACTGCTGAAAACTAATTCACTTAACACTCCCATTAAGAGTGCTCAAAGCGCGTCATTCTATGAAACCACCTCGGAGAGGTCTGAAAGTTGTCGGAAAGAAATACTGCAGTTATTCTTTCGAAAAGCCAAAACACTTAAGATTGATTATCCCACCGAACCTGTGATCATTACTCGGTATTCAGAAGGCTTGTGTTTGTGGTAGGCTCAGATGAGGTCATTAGCTAGGTCAGCAACTCCACCCGTTCCTCGCACAAAGCCACTAACCAGCTCGGACAGCGGCTGGAAATGGAGAGTGAGGTCGACAACTAGGCTGATTTTCTTCAGTATAAACAATCCGAAGCGTTTAAAGCTACCACAGTATGCTGTGTGCAGTGACACACTGGCGGACTGAGGGCCAGACTACAACGACACCTCGGCAACAGTAGTCTAAGTAGCGCACCTCATATACCTCTTAGACCCAACATTTTGTTCTATGGAAACGTTGGTTATAGGGGTTCTCGGGGTGGGGCAGTAGGATAGGCAGTAAAGAAAATTTGTAGAAGTGTGAAGTGGAAAATGTAGTTGAGTTTTTTTTACCGCGGCCGTTGGGAATAAGTTGTTCCGCATGAAAGTTGAAGGTGTGCCGGGCGCTTCGCGCAGCGGAATGAACTAACCTGACTCCAAAACGAATATATGAACATCGGGTGAGTTGAATTAGACGTCCTCCTAACCACTGTTTCTATATTTTTCAGGAATTTCAAAATGCAATTTGACAAACGGGTTTTTGCGCAATACGTTAAATGATAATAGAGCTTAGGAAAATCTACACATTTAAATCAAAAACACCTCTATATACAATAAAATAAAAATACATTTAAGCAGTTATCGAAGTATATTCCACCGCCTATCCTAATTCCCCACCCATAAAACCCCTTTATCACCGTTTCCATAGGACAAACTGACGGAATAGGGGTTTATGTGTTGCACTACTTAACTACTGATGCAGCCCCTATAGCACTCTAACTCAGCTGAGATCTGAACCAGGTGGTGGCAGCTTAGGGGGCGGGT